TACAAAATACAGCTTTTCAAGGACGTTAACTTTTTTGCATAAAATGCTAATTAAAGTTATCGAATTGTTGTCCATGGTATGCTTATATGGGTGCTTCGGTGCTTTCCTGCAACAAAACAGTACAAGTACGCCTATAATTTTTCCAGGATAATGGGATATTATCAGATCATGAGCCGAAGATAGTGAAAATAACTGGACAGTGTACTCTTTTGAAGAAAAAAAGATAAAAAAATAAAAGTTCGCGATATATGGGGACAGAGAAAGATTTTTTAGAAGTCAAATACAAACCTTTAATACATGGGAAGATACTGTTGACACATACTCATACATGCCTGTGCCCTTGTTAGTAGAAAATATTTCTTCAAATGGTAGCAAAGTAAAAAAAAACTACACAGGAACAACATAAGTTCCAAGTAGATAACAACATTGCGATCTCGCTTTTTTACACTAGGACGCACCCGGCGTCGCTCGCATCAAACCTGTTCATAGTGAAAGTTTATATTTGTGCACAACACCTGAACTAAGTTTAAGTGCGAATGCTTCCGGCCAAAAGCCCGAAGGTGTTGTCTTTCTGTATAATTACACATACGAAATTTCTATAGAATAATGCTGTATAGGTGATAAATTATCGAGTTAATTGATCTTGTTTTGGTAATGGCCTGTGTGTTGAGAAACATCCCGTGATGTCCCAACTAGATGATGATTGGTCTTGATTACAAGTTAATGTCGTAATTTTTCTATACAGACTACTTTAAATTAGATAATGGTTAACTTATAATACTTTTACCTTATTATTTAAAAAAAAACTTTGAATCTCGTCTCATAGAAGTTGCCTGATGCCTTAATTGAAACAACCCCAGAGAAAACACCGTAATATTTATTTATAGTTATTGTAAAGAGATTTTTAAAAGTATTTTTTGACGGCGAATCTGGTTGACGGTTCGATTCTCTCTCAGGACAAATAATTGTGTGATGAGCATTTTCTTTTCTTTTTTATGTAAGAGGGGCAGACGAGCAGACGGGTCACCTGATGGAAAGTGACCATCGCCGCCCATGAACGTCTGCAACTCAGGAGTCACAAACGCGTTGCCGGCCTTTTAGGAAGGAGTACGCTCTTTTCTTGAAGGTTATAAGCATGATTATTTGTTCTGTGCCTGGCTGTAATTAATTATCTATAAAATGTATGTATTTAGAAATATTAAAGTATGTTTATCAGCAGTCTTGTCAGCACAGGCTCTGCCTAGTTTAGGATCAGACTTATGTGTGTAAGAAGGGTGAAGTTATTGTTATTATTATTAATTGTTTTTTATTACTCTGTGCAAATGTATCCAATGCAATCTATTAATGTAAATTTATGAAAACATGTAAACCTATGAAAGTAATGTAAAGTCGAATTTTAAGTTTTGGTAATAAGCTTAGAGATTATCAATAAAATCGTTGCTGATAACATTTTTCCAGAATAAAAAAAATAAAAAAAACGTTTTCTTGACCACACTAAGCAAACGCAGTTGTAATAATATAAATTTAAATTCACTACCAGATAACCAACTGTTCCTAACTATGTAAGGTTTATCACGTAGCCCTGTAGAAAGCTCACAATCATGCGGTTTCTGTTATGATATAGTTTTTACTGGGGTGTTTGTAAAAACCACCTTATTGGTAACCGAGGTTCGTGACTATCCGGTATTGCGTCTAACTGGATGGTGGTTTATAACTACGAGTATAATGCTTTAGTATTTGTTTTGTTGGAACGTATTTTAGGCTATTTCAAGAAGGTATGACTGACTTTTCTACAAGACTGCCCAAAAAAAGGAGTAAATTCGAAATGCACAGATTTGGATATATTGTACGTTAAAATCCTGATAAGATCCTAAATGACACTGGCTATAAATAAAAAAACTCAAGTGTTATTTTTTTTAAATTATTAATTTTAATACAAATAAGCTGAATGCCAAAGCTGTTAGTATGTTCTACAAATTTAAAAGGTCTGAGGAAGTATCTGGTATGTTTTATTGCTTACTTTAGAACTTTTAATAAAACATCTTGATCTCTTTAACTTATAAAATCAAGGCGTTTGGAATTCATTACTTATTACATTTTGTAAGGGAAGAGTATGAGTTAATATAATGTTTTAATTTATTGTCCGTTATGATCATACAATTTTCACAGAAGAGTAGGTGTAAAGGGTTTTCATCAGAACAAGCAAACAGAAATGCCATCAGCAAAAGCTAGTTCATCATAAATCACGGTACATTTTCATTAATACCAGGTAAAAAATTAAAGATTTCGTGACACATTTCCCTCGACTATTAAATACTGGTATAATCGTCAAAAGTGACAACATAGCTATGAATTAACATGATTGTGTTTTCCTTCTTGTCGTAAGCGGTGACAACAGGAGGAATTTGTAAAGAGTACCTAGAATAAAAGCTGCCTTTACACTGAACGTATTTCCTACTTAAAGTATAAAGTATATAACTACCTCACTACCCTTAAAGTAGGCTACTTTAAGGGTAGTGAGGTAGTTATAGGCGATTTGACCATTCAGTAAACAAGAAAACCTGATTGTGTTAAAAATACACTGTGGTGTAAACACACAACTTGTTTATTTTTTGTAATCGACTTTTGAAATCATTATGTTTAATGCCACTCGATAAATTGTGAGAGGAAAAAAAAACACAACATGTATGTAAACATACATTTTTGAGCCATCAAAAAACCCATCATTTGAATAATTTTTAATTTTAATATAGCGCAGTGTCACATTCGCATAAAGACGAATATAACGATATGTGATTGATCAGAATCGATTCAACCATTTACTAGTCATGAGTCAACACAGGGAGATGGGATATACAGTACTGCTCGCATTGGTATAGGTGCTTTGCCGCAGTCAGGTAAAAACGCATAAAATACACAGACATGATTAGAGCTATATCAATAACATTAATAAAGTTACCAAAACAGAGAGAGGCAGGTTTTCGGACACGAATCTTGCATGATGCGAAGCATTTAATACTTTAGAAGTCTAATAGTTTTAAGTATTATTTTGGCCTTCCTAAATAATTGACTGCGGAAGTCGGACTCGTCGGAGAGCTCCTTAAGATGTTGTTGAGATTAGTTTAGGGACCACCCTGGACGCACACAAATACCTACACAGTTTGAATTTATGTAGACTTGTATCATTAAGTTTATTTTGGCGCCATTTAGTTTTAAATAACAAATCAACATGTAAAAGTGTCAGTAATTCTGTGGGCAAATTCAGCTACCGGACTCTATACATAGTTGCAACTTTTTTTGAGGTCTTCTGAAAAGTGAAGTAATTCAGACGTGGTTTACTCCAACGACCTGTTTAGTTCAAAGATTACCTAACCCTGAGGTAAAAAAATATATTTAAATCCTTAATATTTTACGAGCTCTTATAAAGTTGTAGTTTTGATTTAAAAATTAAATACCTTCTTATTTCCGACTTATTACGAACCAATTAACCCGGGAAACATCCCAAATAATTTTTCATAAGTTCCATTAATTGTAGGTATAGGAGACTGTTATATCTTTTTGTAAGCCTAACTAGTTTCTAGGTTTTGTATTTAAATATTCTAGTCTTTCTTTCTACACAGTCTGTTATGTATGTCTATATAACTTCCTAATTTAAGCGATATTTTAGCGCAATATATATGTAAAATATATATATTTAAAGACATAAGAAACAGATGAAAGACATATTTTTAAGATGGTTATTAAAAAAATATTATTTAACTTAAATAACTAAACTGTCTTGGAAGTGCATAGTATACTGCCGTCTTAGGCCTATATCCACCCAAAAAGTAAATTAAAAGGTAATTAAATATAGAAATATAAAATACTACTATATAAATTATATACTACTCGTACTATAACTTAAATACTACGATATATTGGAAAAGTTTCTAAAAATCTAGACTTATTTATTCCTAACAGTTTGTATTTAATACCTGTACGATGCTGATGATAAGTTCATAGCTATTTTACTTGTCATAAAAAAATCCTAAAGCTTCATAATAATATCAGAAACCTAAATGCAAACACGGAACAGGTCGGCGTTTCGATTCATCCCTCACTGATTTTTCTCAACGTGAAAAAATCTGTAAAATTAACATAACAATAGATGACAGTGGTAATCTCGTAACTCGATCCCAATTATAAAACTCACAAGACGTACCTTGACGTCACATACTCTAATAAAAAATACAATTTGTGTTTGTATTGTTCGTTACTTAAGTTATTTTCTCATATAATATTTTAATTTCCTCGAAAACATATTTATCTTTGATAAATTAAAATAAAAACAAATGCTTAAATTACCATGACGGATTTGTGTTGAGAAAATAAGAATTTATTTCCCTAATAGTCAAGAACAGTAGCTATGTTTGACTAATCAAACATCCGATTCACTCGTAAAAGTTGCAAACAAATTGGTTATTATTGTAATGTTCTTAGAACATGTTATTTTAGACGAGCAAGACGAATAACACAACTATGTAATAACAATAATATATGTATTTTATTATATGTTAGGTCATTCAAAAGCAATAGCATTGAAAATTAAGTCCGTCAGAAGATAAATTTATTCTAATAGACACGATTAAAACAAATGTTTATTTTAAGATGATCAAAGATGAAATTAATTTATGGATTGTATTGAATAACTACATAAAAATACTAGAACATTTTTCATAACTTAATAAGTAAAAATACAAAACTGTTACTTTAATTAATTATAACAGATAATAAACAAAGATAGCCCAGTCTGACACACTTTTATTTTGTCAGTGTATTATCACACTTTTTCTGAAGGAAGTTCCCCACGATGAAAGGAAAATTCACGCATACAAAATACTTATTCAAACTTTCCAAGTTCTGTTTTAAAAATAAAATACGTTATTCAACATTTCTTTTAAAATTATATGTCAGTAATATCTAGAAAAGTATGAAGTGATTACAAAATATTAAATACTTACGTCATGATCCGGCACGTATGTGTAAACATGTAGCTTATCGATCCTGATGGTACCCTGGAATGGATACAGCAACGACCCCCGAGGAAGTTCAGCTGACGTCCAAACGCTGACCGAAGCCTCACGCCCTCTCGCTCCACCTGGTCTCAAGGCCAAGCTCAGGTCTTGGGGAATCAGTACTAAAGTCTCCATCTTCAATATCACTTGAGTCTTACAAAAGTTCCACGTGCAGTCACGACAGAAATGAGTAGTACTTAAAAAGTTGACTGGTCTCGTCCATCACAGTTAATGAGGATGAATAAATTAGTATAAGAACAAAAAAATCTGGACGTCGATCCGATTATCGGTCGGCGATGTCGCAAACGAAATATCGACTATACGTGATCGATCGTCCGGTGAAATGTCGTTATGTATTAATCACTGTGCGTGAGTTTGTTATGTTACACTTCTACAAAAATGTCCGAGAAAAAAAAACTCCGCGAACGTGTTATACTGTATCTGTAAAGTTCGGTACAATATTACATTACGGCTTTGGGCGGTACAGCACGGCGCATGCGCGGTAGGATGCGCACGCGCTCTTCTCTGAACGTGCACTGAAGGAAGCGCTAACATTGACCTTAGCCGCGGCCGTGATCGCGTTTACAGTTCATTTTTTGTTCGATAAAAAGGAGAGGAGTAGAGCCCTACAAGAATTGTCGAAAAGTGTTTACGGCAAATTCGGTCTTATTTTCTTCGACATAAAGTACCGTTGGCTGCATCTTTATTTTTGTAAGGTGTGTAGTAAGGTGCTCCCCTCCTAAGGCGGCACCTGCCTGGCCGTGCGCCGCCCGTCAGAGCGCCGTAGAGCGCTGCACTGCGCGGGCGCACCTGACACACACCTGTACACATTAGATCATTTTTTTATATTATTTTTTCTTTAGATACTACGATCTTCATATTAGGCAGGTAACAGGTATTTTATTATAGCGGTAGATGTTTTATTTTAACAAATGTAACTGTATGTGTTTTTTGGTATTAATTAATAATCAATTTGTAGATGAGTGTGAATGCTACGGATACAATCAGGGTCAGATGAGTGATTTAGTGCACTTTTTTTAATTTTAGGAAAGCACATTTATATAACAATTTACAGCCAGTTTTAGGCGAATTAATTTAAATGATCTCGCGAAAATAAGTTTGAAAAGTAAAGGATTTTTATCAATTGTTTTAGCGTAGGTGTCTAAGTTTTGCATACGCTTAAATCATCTAATTAAACTAATAACCCACTGCAGTTATTATTGAATATACTTCTTCTAAAAGTTCCTACAATCTTCAGAGTTCTCGGTCCTTAAATTGCAGAAATGATTTAATTTCATTCTTATTTTTATTCTAAAACTGCTGAGCTATTGATTTAGTAGTTGGTCATCCTGGCTGCTAAGCCACAGGTCAAAGGTTCGATTCCCACCCAGGATATATAATTGAGTGATCAGCGCAATCATTTCGTCATGATCGTAGAATAAAGTCGGTTTTGAAAAATATACGAAATTCGGTTTTAACCAAATTTGGATACTATATTTTATAAAATTTTACTACATTCAAGGTTTTTTTTGTATTTTAGATTTAAAATTAATCAGTGTTTGTTAAGTAGGCGCTCAAAGTAAAATGAAGCATATGATTCTTCTAGAAAATTATATGATTAATAGTTGTTATTTTTATTGCATTTAAAACAAACCTTATTTTTCACTTGTATGCCAATTTTGATAAATACAGATTTAGAATTAAAACAGTTATGTCAAAAAAATAACATAATTATTTGAAATGGCTGCCCTGTAAAGTTCAGTAAATGTCAGATTTTACACTATTCTACGACTATGATGATTTGTCCTGTATCAGGGTGTAATTCTATAACATGTATGTATTTAAAAATATGTAAGCATGTTCATCTGCAGTCTGTTAACCATAGCATGGTCTGCCTGATTTGAGAACAGACGGCCATGTGTGAGATGTTTTGAGTTACTATCTGAAGGTTTAAGTTACTTTAATATGTGTATATTATAGAAGAAAAAAGAAGTTACAGTAGTACAAGGATAAACAAACCTCATTAAATCTTTCCCGCGATAAGAGCGATATTATTGAAACATTTCACATTATACGGCGTATCTTTGTTTATCCTACTAAGATGGCAAACAAGGATAGAAAAACTTAAAGGACTAAGTCCGTCATAGTCGTAGAATAATGTCGAATTTGACATTTACTGAACTTTACAGGGCAGCCATTTCAAAAATTATGTTAGTTTTTTTGACATAACATTTTTAATTCTAAATCTGTAATTATGAAAATTGGCATACAAATGAAAGATGGGGTTTGTTTAAAAATTTAATAAAAATAGCAATTAATTATCACACAATTTTCAAGAAAAATCACATGCTTCATTTTACTCTGAGCGTCTATCAAATCCGTCAGTTTACCGACTGAGTCATTTAATTTCTAAAATACATTTTTTTTTCTTGAATGTAGCAATAATATTTAGACAACGTAGTATCCAAATATGGTAAAAACTGAATTTCACTACGATCATGACGATGGCCTCATAGATTTCTATATAATAATTAGGCATAGTCATAAATAGACTGTCATAAAGTCTTTAATAGTCTTAGTGATATGTCAATATGGTGTAGGAAAAAATTGTTAGGCTGTCTTTCATACGATTACCTTTCGCATTGTTGCCGACAGCTACAAGTTTAAACGTTTTAGTGTTTCATACGAAAGAAACGCATGTAAACATTATATTCTTAATCTATCTATATATCTATACAAATAAATAAAATTGAAGTGTCTGTTTGTAATATTAAAATAACCGCTTTTTACTAAATGCATATGTATGTTTACACGGTACATATGCCAAAATATCATTTTTTACAATTTTTGTCTGTCAATCTGTCTGTCTGTTTGTTCCGGGTAATCTCTGGGACAGCTGGACCGATTTCGACGGCACTTTCACTGGCAGATAGCTGATGACATAAGGAGTAACTTAGGCTACCTTTTTTAGACTAGCTTCGCCCCGCGGCGTTGTCCGCGGTTATAACAACAAACGCGGGTAACACCGCCGGTCTCAGCTAGTAATATCCTAAAAACTTAATATGGCAACTTAATCAATTTAATTCGTTCATGCACAATATTTTTTTAAGTAAGTTTTGGCTCAAGGGTATTTGGTATAACAGTATACTGTAGCTACATAAAACTTATTTTTTATATTGCTAACTCTTTCGTCGTACCTATTTATATTAAGAAAGGAAACCCTATACAAATACTTCATTTTTCATTAAATAAATGTATGTTATATATTTATTTTATATAAACAAAATATAATAACAATAAACTACATAATGATATGGATAATGCAGTGTAATGTAAAGAAGTCAAAGAAAAGAAAAGCACTGTTCAGATTATCACACCTTGTGAAGAAAGTAGGTACCTATAGGTATGTATGGGTATATACTTGTACTTAGGTACATAGTTTTCGATGACCGCTGCACTCAGATCCTGTCCTTATTTGATATCAGGTATAAAAGAATTTTGATTATGTGTGCATTTATTGAAAATCAAAATGTACCTATCATGTTCTTTGTTTAAAAAAATAAAAATCTTTCATTTCAATCTAATCGTGTGTCTAATTAAACCTTACTTGATGTATCGGAGTCTTAAATGTCAGCTGTATTAAAATTTATTGATGACTCCCTGGTATTTTAGGAAAATAATCGAATGAAATTGATCGATATTGCTCACAGACGTGGTGTTATGATATCGGAGCCTCGTCGTTCAGACCGCAGCCTTAACACTGAAAACACAAATGTATCAAACAAATTTCGACTTTAAAGTCTTAACGGTAAAGTTTATTTTCATTGAACTAATGCAAACATATGATACGAAGTGTCGTCGACCTGAACACACCTGCCGGCAACCGCAATCCTACTTGTACAATATTAGGTACCTAGTTATAAGAATTTAAAAGGTTGCTACTTACATAGCAGCTACTGTGCATTTGACATTTTCACACAAAGGGATGGGTTTTATAAAACTCACGACGCTAGAACATTTTTCCTTTTTCTCAAGAACTTAAAATTACCTATACATTTTTGTAAATAGTGCTTTAAATGTGCCTTTATAGGTATGTAACTAATTAAAAAGTTAAGAGTAAAGCCGTTTATAGTTTTTATAAATACTTCATCAATGATAACAAGTATGTACGGACATTTGTTATCATCAACGTGGTATAAAAAAAACTTTAAATGGTTTTACGAGTACTCCCTACTCCGACAGGACTCCAATGCGCGTTACCAATCCAGTTTTTAAAGGTTTTATGCACATTTCTCTCTTGTAGATAACGCAGTGACGAAAACTTGTACAAGAAGTTCATTAAACATCTGAAGTGTGTAGGTTTTCATAGAATCACAAAAAGCTCTGGGTACACAGCTTTCATTGGGTAAGTGTGATATTAGGTACATGGTCCGGAAATGTGTGCCTATGCATATAAATCAGTCGTATTTGTATTAATTATAATAACTATTCTTCTGTTTACTTAATATCAAAAAATCGGGGACACATTACACATTTTACACAGAAAGCACAGCTTTTTAGGCTACAGGTTCTAATCATGGACACATACATGAAAAATAATTTAATTTTGTTACGATAGAGACGAGGAGATAGAGTAAATTAGTTATTCCACCTCGTTATATTTTGTTTAAGTTAGTTTTAAGTTAAATCCATAGCATTCAAGGTCATAATTTCGGATTTCAGGAGGTTACTTTACTTTGACGAAATCCAAAATGTTAGCATCTATAGTTAAATTTCATTTTGGAATTAATCCGGGCAGATTAATTCGATACGTGCCAAGTCAAGTAGTTCTGTCGTACCTACTTAGTAACAACAGTTTTTAAAATATTATTATATTTCTACTACAAAGTTTATGCTCTTTGAATATCAAATCCAAATTTTATTACCATTTTCAGAACTTTGCTTTAACATTTTGATGTAATTACAATAATAAAACTTGACACACCTCACAAAAGGCCGCATGGGCCCAGTCTATGCAAATCTTTTGTTATGGTAACTATACTGCTAATAAACGTGCTCATATGTTTCTAAATACAGACATGTTTTACACAAATTACACGAAAACTTAAAACAACTAATCTTACTCATTAAACAAT